GCGCAGGGTGCCCGCGGGGTCCCCGCCGGGCGGCGGGGCGGCCGCCAGCTCCAGCAAGGCCACCTCCTCGGTGGGCGGCACCGGTGCCGCCATGGCGCTTCCCGGCTGCTCCCGGGCTCGGCTTAGCAGCGGGATCCCATCCCTGCCGGCCTCGCCCGTGCTAGGAGGAGGAACGGGGACCATAAGGGATCAGGAATGAGACGCTTTGGCGCAGGGATCCCCTCGCTCCGCGCGCCCCAGGGCTCCCGGGACCGGAGCCGCGTGGATCCCGCCGCGACGGCCCCCGAGCTGCTCCGGCCGCGGCCCGACACGTTCGCCGGGCAGCGCGGCCGGCACCGACCCGCTTCCTACCTGGGGCGGGCGCCGGGGGCTGCCGTGGCGGGGGGAGCGGGCGCTTTGGGTGGAAACGTCCGGTTTTTGGCTGCGGGAGGGACGCGGCCGCCCCGACCTGCGGCCGCGCCGGGAGCCCTGTGGTGCCGCGGCCTCCAAACCTGTCTGACCGGCGCAGGTGGGGCCGGGCCGCAGGGCGCCGGCGCGGCCGCCCCGTCCCGTCTGGCCGCYGCCCGGCCCCCCTGCGGCCCCCCGGAGACCCCGGCCCCAGGGGCGAAGCCACGTGGAGGGCGCACAGCCCCAAGGGGCACGCGGGTGCGGGGAGCAGGGGGGATCCCAAGGGGCCCTTGGGTGCTCCCCAAGGCGGGTGGTGGCCGAGGGGTCCCTGGGGGGCGGGGGCTGCCAGCACCAGGGTCTAAATGGCGGGTGGGCCTCGTCCTGCGGCCCCAGGCCTGGCCCCCTGCCCCCTTCCAGCCCTGCTGTGCGTGTGCGCCGCGCGGCGCTGCCAATAAAGTTGGTTGAATGAAGCCGCACGGGCCGCCATGTTTGCCAGCGCTTAGTGCTGGCAGCGGTGCCGGGGGGGGGAGGGGAAGTCTCGCGAGGTGACGCCGTACGGCCGCCATGTTTGCCAGTACTTAGTGCTGGCACGCAGGTAGAGGGAGCTCTCGCGAGTCCACGCCACGTTCCACCCCTCCCTCCCTCGCTTCCCGTTCCCCCGGCAAGTCTCGCGATAGCCCGCGCAAGTCTCGCGCGGCAGCGGCGCAGCCATGGCGGCCGAGCGGGGCCGGTGGCGGCGGCGGCGGCGGCGCGGGCGGTGCTGAGGGGGCCGCGGGCGGCGCCGGGCCTCGCCCCCCCACACACCCCGTCCCCGGGCGCCATGAGCCAGGGCGGCGGCGCCCCCGGCGAGAGCGGCGAGCCCGAGGCCAAGGTGCTGCACACGAAGCGGCTCTACCGGTGAGCGGCGCGGCCCGGCCGGAGCGCCGAGGGGCAGCGCGGGAGCGGGGGCGCCGAGCGGCCCAGGGCGGGGAAGGCCCCGGGACAGGGCGTGGGCGTCGGGCCAGGTCCCGGGGGAAAGAGGGGGCGTCGGGGGGGACGAGGACGAGGTAACGGGGGGAAGGGGACGGGGGACCCCGAGGTTACGGGGAAGGGGGTGCAGGGGCGGGGGGCTCTGCGGGATCTAGAGGAGATGGGGCAGGATGTGGAGGATTCTTAGGGGGCTGGATCAGGGGACCTGATCCTGGAGATCCCCAGGATAAGGGGGAGACCAAGGGGAGGAAGGGGGGGATCCAGGGAAGACTTGGAGGGTCGGGAAGGGCTGTGGGGCCTGCAGGACGTCAGGACAAGGGGATGGAGGGAGGACGTGTGGGATGCAGGGAGAGGAGGCCGCTGGGGCAGGGAGCAATGGGATAGGACAGTGGAGGGATGCGGAGGAAGGGGGAGCGGGAATCGCGGCCGGGAAGGGCGCGGAGGCGGCTCCACGGAGCGGGGCCCAGGCCGCGTTCCCGCTGTGCGGAGGCCCCGGCTGCTGCCCGTCCCGGGTCCCGCTCCGCGTTCCGGCCGCTGTGCGCAGGGAAGGGCCGGGATGTGGCGGCCTCGTGCACAGCCCGGGCGCTGCCGCCGCTTCCCCCCGCGCGCTCCTGCGGAGCTGCTTCCCAGCGGAGTTTCCGGAGTGCCCGCGTGGTTTCCCACATGAGCGCGATGGGGAGGGCAGGAAACAGCTCCTGCTCCATTCCCAGGCTCCGTTTCCAGCTGCTGACCCACTGCACGACGTTGGAAACGTCCTGGGGACCTCTCTGCCCCCTTGATCAAACAGGGAGAGCTTCACTTCCCTCTGGGAAGCGTGGCCAGAGCCTTGCCTACAAGTCTGGATTTATTCCCGTCTCCCTGATGTGCTTCGTGCAAGCCGCCCCCCTACACTTGGCCCTCGTGTTATCACTGTAACGATGATTTTCCTTGCAAGGCTCGTGGTCCCGCGCGGTGGCCGCTGTTATCCGAGGCGCGCGCTCTCGGCCCCTCGGGCGTTTTGCTGCAGCCTCCGTGGCGTCTGCGGTACTCGCAGGTTTTCTGGCCGTGTCGCTGCTGGGTCTCTTCACAGGCTTCCCACCTGAGCAGTGTTGGAGCTCGGGTGCCAGCCTGGGGACCTGCTCCATGTGAGTGCCACATTCCTCGTGCTTTACTGACTCCAAAGGCTCTGGAAACTCTTTCAGGTTAGGTTGAGGTGTTTGGATTTCGCAGCGCTGGCTACGACTCTGCGCCTGTCCCRGCGGCACCAAAGGGAGCTGCTGGATCCCTCCTTGCACCCGAGAGGACTTGGCACCGGGCGCTTCCCACCTGCTTGGCAGGAGGTGCTGCCCTCGCTTCTTTTAAAAGCCTGGCCTCCCCTTTGCTCCCTCGGCGCTCCGAGCAAGGGCTCCGTGCAGCAAGCGCCGAGACGGGGACAGAGACAAGAGTTAGCCCCTTAAGCCCTGCCTGCGACTCGGCCCGTGGCCTCGGTGCCCCGGCACGAGCTGCGTTTGAATCCGGGYGCGCTCAGCCGCTCCTCGTTGGTGTTCCCAAATGTTCTGGAACGACACCGTTTCCCGAGTCTCCGTATCCTCGCGGTGGCTTCTTCCATCATCCCCATTGCGGAGTCTCCATGYGCAGGGTCACACTGGGTGACGTTGGGACGTGTTTCTCCCACTGCTCAACTTGGCCAGGTTCTTCAGTGAGACTTTGTGATGCTCTTTTAAGTGTAAAAAAAGCATTTTACCTGTTTTGGGAGCAGATGTGGCAGATGAGCACTAATGAACAAGGAGGGAATTTGGACTGTGTGCCTGTGAAGGGACCCGGATTKATTGAACGTAGGAAAAGGGGGCAGTGCAGGGCCCCGTCCCAGCGGCCGCCCGTGGCCTTGGGCGCAGGTGTCCGGCGCTGGGAGCTGGTTTCCCACCTGGAGGTGTCGGAGTGACGTGGAGCGCGCGGCGGCCGCTGCTCCGGAGCGCAGAGAGCAGCTCCGAGGCCCTTTGAAGCTGCAGGGACGGCTGTTCTGGGGCTGCTGTGCATCGGGGGTGCCGGGGAACGGGCTTTTCCATCTCCCCTGGTCGCCCTGCAGCCCGGCACGCCGCGCCGCCTCCCGCAGCAGCGAGCCCTTTGCCTGCAAAAAGGCGTTTGTCTYGCTTGGGAGGGCGTGAGGCGTCGGGCAGAGCTGGCAAAGGACCTTCAGGCCCCGTCCGAGATGCTCGGGAGCAGATGTGGATACCAGGGCTCATAGCAGCCGCCCGCGTGTGATTCTTGCTCYGTACTTGGTTTTTCAGGATTTTTTAGGAGAAGCTGGTTCGGCCCCGCGAGGTTTTGCCCTCCTGAGTGACCAGGGAGGGTTTTCCTCTCGCCGCGCTCTTCCTCCGGCGGCGGTGCCTTGTGGAGAGGTTCCCCTGAACGCGCTGCTTCCTTTAGGGAAGGAGCCCCGAGGGCATCCCTGCCTCTGCAGGGAGAGCCGCCGGTTTCGGCGCCCGCTGAGCGCGCCCGGGGGCTTCGTCCTCCACAAAAGGCCGCGGCCGCTCATCCTGCTGCTCCGCATCAGCTCCCCCTCGTTCGGCCTCGTGCTCCTCTTTCTCTGCACGCGCCCTGGGAGCGATGCAAGGGAAGGCGACCAAACGAGGGATGCAGTTGGATGCAGTTGGCTGGGCACGGCTTGGAGGACAAGGCGTTTTAAGCTATCGGTGTTTGCCAGGGCAGCCCCGCCAAAACCCTCAAATAAAGGCGATTTTAGGTGTTCTTAGCCATGCTTTTCACCATAATTTGAGATTTCAAAGCAAATGAGTCCAAATCTACAGCTCCMAAACGTTTTGTGATGCGGAGAGCCAAGCAGTAACGGATAAGCTCCCAAGGGAAGGCAGTGAGCAGAGAGCTGGGGCAGGCAGTGCAGCGACATCGAAAGCAGGCGCAGCAGAGGCTGGGATTTGGAGATGTGCCCTTCCCGAGGGGCTGCACCTGGGATTTTCCATCCGCGCCTTGTCGAGCTGCCCTCGAGATCCCAACACCGAGTCCCCGCTTTCGTTGCGGTGCCGGCGCGGGGTCTGTAGCCTCCTTGGTGCAGCGCTTGGCGTTCTGCACACGGCGACGTCCCCGCTCCGAGGGGCCGGGTCTCAGCAGTGCCTCCCAGGCATGTTTGTGCTCGGAAGCTGCTTGGCCTGTGTTTCGGTCGGCTTGGGACTCGGGAACCCCTAATAAATGAGATATTTTAGAGCGGTTTTGCATCTCCCATGCAGAGATCTCCCCGTTCGGTGAATTGCTTTACCAAAGATCAGCCAGCGCTGGCAGAAGGAATGAAGGGAGTGGGAAGGGAGCAGGGAGTGGAGGATTGCTGACCCTTGCCCTATCGAACAGCATGGGAAACAAACCCACTCTCGAATCATGCACTTGGTTATATCTAAATTATCCACGTATGTGTAGTAGGTTTGAACTGCAGGGTTAAAAGTTACTAATATGTCCCAAAGCCGCTTTTTCCCGTAGAAATAATTGGCAGTTTTGACCGTGCAGGTGGTGGTAGCGGCTTATTTGAAACAAACTACTGAAGTGTGTAGAACTCTGCTTCTTTCCTTGAGCTTTTCAGAGCGTCGCGCAGAGGTGCGATCAGCGCGTCAGCGGGCGGCTGCAGCCCATTAAGGGATGGGGTTAACGAGGCCGGCGTGGCTGCGTGCGGAGAGGCCGGCTGTGATAAAGCCCCCCAGGTAAGGTGCCCCTGTGACGCTCCTCTGTCGCTTTGCAGAGCGGTGGTGGAGGCTGTTCATCGGCTCGACCTCATCCTTGGCAATAAGGCAGCCTATCAGGAGGTCTTCAAGCCCGAGAACATCAGCTTGAGGAACAAGTAAGTTTGGGCAGAGGGTGTAGTCCTTATATTGGACCTGAAAAACGTGCCCAGGAAGTCGCACGTCAGTGGTGGTACCCACTGGCCAGGGATATTTCCAGATTTTTAGAGCAGAGGCCGCACTTGAGGTCTGTATTTGAACATAGGAATTCAGAGCCCAGGTGGGTGGCCGGAGGCTTTCCCGAGTCCTGTTGCGAGACAAATAAGTCATCTTCACATCGGCTAATGACTTCCTTGCCATTGCCTTCAATTATCTATGTGATGGAGAAGCTTCCTACCTGCGCCTGAAATCTTCTATCAGCTCTTGGGGCGGCCTGGAGAGGGTGGTGGAGTTTACCTGTTGTTTTAGACAACTTTTTGACATTAATGCAGCTCAGAGAGCCGCTGATGCCAGCGGAGGGCAAGCGACCGCTGTGGCTTGTGGCTTTTCCAGCTGCTGCTGTGTGGCAGTGCCACGAGCTGCTCCGTCACCAGTGGGGCTAGCTCATCCGTGCGGATCGATTTGGGATTTCCTCTCCCTGCTGTTTTTGGGGCCGCTGTAGCTAAATCTTCATTCCTTGCTCTGTCTCAGGCTGCGGGAGCTGTGTGTGAAGCTGATGTTCCTGCATCCGGTGGATTATGGGAGAAAAGCAGAAGAGCTGCTCTGGAGAAAGGTTTACTATGAAGTTATCCAGCTCATTAAAACAAATAAAAAGGCAGGTATCTGTGGCTCCTGCCTGGGAGAGTCTCTGGGCACGCACCAGTCAGACCAAGTGAAATTCTTCATTTTCCTGGAGAGGTTGTGGTCTGAACACAGGGCAGGAAGCCAGGAGCTCCTCAATTTTCATCGTGGAGCTGACTTGCGCTTTCTGTCTAGCTGTGGGCCAGTAATTTCTAACAATCTGTCCAGAGAGCTGCAAGTGCGGAGGATATTTCAGTTTTTTTTAACTTTTTAAAATTATTTTTTCTTATTTTTTAATTTATATTTTAAGTCTTCTCATCTTCCAAGTAGACAYGTCCCCATGTCGAGGGAATGCCAGTGATCGTCTTAGGGTGTTGTCAGCCTGACGAAGCGTTGGGTTTTTCTGGAGTTGATCACCAGAAAATGCTCCAGACGCTGACGTTTGGTTGTATTTTCTGCTGTTGTGAACTCTGTCCCGATGATCTGGTTATTTGAGCATATTTAAGGTGCACTCTAACCAGATATGTTAATTTTTTATTCCTCCTTGCCGTGAGCRTTTCTCCTTTGTTGTGATCCATAGTAAATACCACTGGAGTCCACATTTTTGAGCCAAAAGAGGTATAGATGTGTGGAAATTACAGCTGAGACAGCTGCTGTGTTGGGCTGCCGCTCTGAGACGWTGCGTGGTTGCATTAACACGAGCTCTTCCCTCCCCTGCAGCACATTCACAGCCGGAGCACCCTGGAGTGYGCCTACCGGACTCACTTAATCGCCGGCATCGGATTTTACCAGCACCTTCTCCTCTACATCCAGTCTCACTATCAGCTGGAGCTGCAGTGCTGTATTGACTGGACCCACGTAACGGACCCGCTCATCGGTCAGTGCTCGCCCCGTTGTGCTCCTGGCTGAGGCCTTGGTCCCGCTCAGGTGGCCTTACCTCCTGCCAGGGCACCTTTGGCTTGGGATTTGAGGGATTCACTTGATTTCTCATTAGCCCTTTATCTTTGCAGAAGAGCCCGTGTGCCCTGCTCTGTTTTCTCTGGCTTATCTTTTCTGCTTATCTTATCTTTTTCAACGCAAGAAGGGTTGAAATGTGTCAAAAAGTGCTCATAGGAAATGCTTGAAGGGTCATTTGGTGATACAGACTTCTTATTAAGCAAAYTTACTAAATTAGGGAATTTGGAAGAGTTCTTCCATCTGTACAGGTTGTTTTAATAAATTTAAGTAGACACCCAGGCCTTGGTGGGAATAGGCTCTAGAAATCAGCAGGCTTTGCCAGAGCACCCTGCTATTCACCTGGATCCCAGTTCCTGCTGCCGGCCCGCGCTCTGCCCACCTCCTGTCGCCTTCTCCCACTCGTGCCGGCTCTGAAACGGCCGCTGCCTCTCGGGCTGGGAAGGCGAGGGAGCTGCTGCCACCCAGGCGCTGGCTGTCGCGGGCAGCCGCCCCGTGCGGCCGCTCGGACGCCGGCTAAGCCGAGGGGCAGAGGAGCGAGAGTGTTCGGGGCAGTTCAGAAGCAGCTCTAGACGGCACCTCGTAGATTATCATAGTGTAAAACACTTGATTTTGCTCCCCTGCTGCACTCGGTGGCTTCAAGGCGCACGTTTCTGCTCCAGCTGAGAAATGGGGATGTAGGGGGGGTTGTGAACTGTATTRGCAGGGTTTGATTGACATTTTTAAAGCTGGCAGGGGGAAAGCRACAGAGAAATTGGGATAAAACCCCTTAGTATGTCTTTAGCAATAGGACATTTTAGGTACTGATATCCTATTCTTAGCTTCTGGGAGACGATTGTATCGTGATCAGCTTTGAAATGTCGTTTTAGAAGGCAGATGTCCCTGGCAACTGTTGCTTTGAGAGATGTAGCTTGGTGCTGCAGAACTAATAAACCCTCGGAGCCGCGTTCCAGCGGGGCCTGCGCTCCGGCGGGCGGCTGTCTTTGCAGGAATCTCCTCCTCCAGGCTGCTTAGTGGGTTCAGATGCAGCTGAGAAAATTGTAGCTGGACATGAACGGTGAATCCTGCATATGCGGGAATGATGTGTGGGGAGAAGCACCTATGAAACACAAATTGGGGTGAGGGAACTTGGCCGGTATGTGATAGAACCGGGATGCAAAGCGAAACAGAAAGGGAGGGTAGATCCCCCTGGCGACAGCTGAGCGGCCACGTGTCGTTGAGGTGGCTCCTGCGAAGCCCCTTTTCCTTCCTCACTGCTCCCTTAATCCGGGTTGCGCTTCCTCCCTGTTGAACCAAGCTAAGAGGGACGCAGGTCAGACCGCACTGGGCCTCTCRGGAGTGCCTTCCTTTGGGATTCCCGCTTGCGGGATATTCCTGCTTGCGGGACTTTCCGAGCGGCGGAACAGGAAGCCAGGCTGTGTGCCCGCCGTCCCTCTGCCTGGGCAGGTGGGATCATGTCCCTTTGTGTCCCTCAGACCCTCCCAGGAACCGAGTCACGGTTGAAGGCTCCACTTAGCCGGAACAGCTGCCAGGAGCTGTCTCGTTTTCTCAGAATCACAGAATCCCTGAGGTTGGAAGGGACCTCTAGAGATCCTCTAGTCCAACCCCTGCACACCCAGGGTCACCCGGAGCACGGGGCACAGGCTGTGTCCAAGCAGGTTTGGAAGATCTCCGGAGAAGGAGGCTCCACCACCTCTCTGGGCAGCCTGTTCCAGTGCTCTGTCACCATCACTGTTTAGAACTTTTTCCTTAGTTTTTGCCCCTTTCCTCTGAGTTGCTGTTCTTTCTGGTGGCCATGGGGCATCTTTGAGGTAGGATGCTCTCCAGCTGCCCTTTCCCTTCCTGCCTGTTGCTCATGTAACTTCCCCTCCTCCCGTTGTGGTTGGGACAGCCCTGAATCCGGATCTCCAGCCTATTCCAGCCTCAGTAACAGGGCGACTCCATCCAGGCCGAGCGTCGCTGCCAGGTGCYGCCATGCCCGGCTTTTCCTCCACTTTCCAGGGATTTGCGCCGGCCCCTGTCCGAAGGCCTCATTAGCCGTGCTGACGAGCTCAGCCTCGCAGCAGCCCTTGTTCGGGGCGCCGCGTTTCCACGATCCCGCGGCTTGCAGCAGGAGGGGCCTCCGTCCTGCCGTCGTGGAGCCGCCCCCGGTGCCGCGGCCGAGCTCCACGGGGAACCCTGTCCCCTCTGCCGCCTCACACCGGCGAGGAGGGACCCGTCTGGGTCTGCGAGACACCCGGGCAGCAGCCAGCGCTGCGGCCTGAATGTGCCGTCCCTATTTTCACCCACCGAAACACCGGGTGTCTCGGGCGTAGGCTGCTCCTGTGTCTTTCCACCTGCCTTTCCCCAATGGTCTATGTGATTTTTTTTCTTTTTTTTTTTTCCTTTCTCGTGTAGGCTGTAAGAAACCCGTGTCTGCGTCGGAGAAGGAGATGGAGTGGGCACAGATGGCGTGTCACAGATGTCTGGTTTATCTGGGAGATCTAGGTAAGAGCAGCAGCATCTTTCCAACCCTTAGCACATAGAAGACGGGGCCGCTCGGCCTGCTGATTCCAGGGTTGTTAGTCAGCTACCGTAGTCGCCTGCAGGCGCCGGTTTCTCGTGGACACATTTGTCAGTGACTGGTTTAAGGTGAAAACGCCACGGAGAAGTGAGCTGCTGCAGATGGCAGCAGCTTTGTTTTCGTGCCAGCAGATGACGAGTTGGCTACTGGCAAACGACTGCAACTGCGGCTGGTAAGAATGGAAGCCTTGACTTGATTTATGTCGCTTGGACAGCGCAAAGGGAACTGGAAGCGGAGTGACTTCCCTGTTCAGACTTGCTTTAAGGCTGCCTTCCGGAGCCGCTGTCAGCAGCGTAAGCGTGAATGGAAGTGGGATTTGTTGAGCAGTCTTGGTGGCTGCCTGGGATGAAGGGGCACGTGGACAGCCCACGTCCTGGGTGAGCGTCTGGCTCCTGGCATCCTCTGCTCTGCAGCCCRGCAGCATCGTGCTTGGTTGGGGGGGTGAAGGCAGGGAGGAAACGTAGCTGTGTGAGAAGCAGCCCTTCCAAGCGTGGTCTGGGCAAATGTGCTCGACACGCAGCAGCCCTCGAGCTCCTGGGGCTGTGTTGACATGGTTGCTGTGCGTGAATCCGCTGGAGAATGTGGGGCAAGTGAGTGTCGTGTGGGGCAGAGGGACTGACTGGCCTGACTAACGGGAGAAAAATGCGCTCCCCTCCTTGCTGTCCTGGCACCAAAGGTTTTCACGGAATCACAGAATGTTCAAGGTTGGAAGGGACCTCTAGGGATCATCTAGTCCAACCTTCCTGCTCAAGCAGRGACACCCAGAGCATGTGGCAGAGGGTGGCRTCCAGACGGGCTTTGAAGACCTCCAGAGAAGGAGACTCCACAACCTCCATGGTGCCTCCTGGTATTGGAGAAGGATAATGATTGATAAGGTCCAGTCTAGACACCAGGTGTTTTATTAAATTGACTGACTTCACATTTCACACTCTGCTCTAGTAGGATGTGGTGTGTTTGAGGTGCTGGAAAGTGGAGCACAACACTGTGTTATTTCGAGGGTGAATGAATCAGCATTTAACACATGGAGCAGTAGTTGTTATTCCTTTTGCTTGCACCCCCACAAGCGCTGAGAGACGTCCCCTCCGCCTGGAGCGGCGGCTCCATGATGTGCAGGACGGTGCGGGTGACGTAGGGGTGTTTCAAACAGTCCCGGCAAGCCCTGGGCGTTTGTGTGTATCACCAAGAGCGGCTCTCATTTGATGGGTTTGTTGTCCTGGCCGGTGTTTCCAGGTCTGAGGGACATTCAGCCTGTGAGGAAGCGGTTTCCCCTYGGCAAAAGAGGGGCGAAGGGCGGCTTCTGGTTTCTCACGTGCACTGTGTGGCTTTTCTTTCAGCTCGCTATCAGAACGAGCTGGCGGGTGTGGACACTGAGCTGCTGGCCGAGCGGTTTTACTATCAAGCACTTTCTGTTGCACCACAAATCGGTGAGTAAATTACTGTGGATTTTCCTTGTTCACGTGCTGCTGCTGTAACCTAAAAGCGCTATTGTGTGACACTGCTCTGTTTAGGTCTAAATGTGGTAGGGGAATGGTTTTATTCCCTGGCTAGAGTCCCCTGCGAGACTCTTTAGCAGGCTAGCCAGGGAGAGGAGTTGAGGAAAGCTGATCTCCTCCAAGGATGCCAGCTTACCCATCCGGATAATTCCCAGAAGCTGGAGCTTCCATGAATGGAGTAGAATGTTCCTGTGGCTCAGGGATGCTCCAGTTGGCYTTTGCTGGCAGAGAACATTACTGCTCACACCCTGTTCTGACGAGAACAGCGGCATTAACAAATCTTGTGTGCTTCGTTCTGCTTTAAGTGATTGCTTTACCCAAGCACATGGTGGCAAGAGCTGAGTGCCTATCTTATCTTAAAASGAAGCAGCTCCAGAGGAGGTTTTCACTACCTTGTCTTTGCGGGGCTCTTCCAAGTTGCTTGCTGCGTCTAATCTCCAAAACCAGTCCCTGACCAGCACTTAGGCAGCTCAGTTGGCTGGGACAGAGCACTCCAGCRCTGATAAGATGTTGTCCAGGTCTAGAGAAACCCAACATAGTGAGGTCAAGGACAGGTGCTTGTTGAGGAGGAGTTGTTTGCTCTTTCTTCTGCAGACACCCAGCAGGAAGGGAGGGAAGATCTTAAAAACACTGTAAAACGGGGGAGAAAAAGCTAAGTGGCTAAAGGATGAAGTAGTGCAGACCTTTGGACTGTGGTTACGGCGCTGTGGGTGCCACTTGGCTTCCCTCCCGCCTGGAAGCGTCGTGGGAAGGCAAGGATGGGCTTTGTAGCAGGGCRAGGTGGAGAACTGCAGGTTGATTCCCTTGTCCCTCTCTTGCGTTGCAGGGATGCCCTTCAATCAGCTGGGGACACTGGCGGGAAGCAAATACTACAATGTGGAAGCCACTTATTGCTACTTACGCTGGTGAGTGCCCGCGAGCATCTGCTCGTTTCCTGGGGGAGGAATCGGGGTGCCCTGGCTGCTGCCGCCAGATTTTCTCCCTTATTTTGAGCTTGTGTTTTTCAGTGGACGAGTTTCATGGGGATGGGGAAGAGCAGAGCGGGGCTGTTTCCTCCCCGAGTAGGACTGATGGCCAGATAAGTCCTGGTCAAACCCAACTGTCATGCTGTCCCTGAACAGGCCCGTGGGGCTGCACTTGGAGGGCGGGTTTCCACCTGCGTCCCAGCACAGCAAGGGGGTGGAATTGGGTTATCTGAGCATGGCCTGAAGGCACGAATCCATACATGGGTGTGTAAACGTGTCCCATGTTGCTGTGGCATTTGCAGACATCAAGGGGAGTTAAGGACTCCAGTGTGTTCAAACAAACGCACTAGGCACCTGTTTTTGTATTTATTTGTCTGTATTTGTTTGCCTGAATATCTCTCTGGTGAAGTAAAGGCTTAAAATGTGAGCAGCCSCGTGGCAAAGCAGCCCTTGATGTGTCTGTTCTGTTTTGGGGCCTCAGTATCCAGTCTGAAGTGTCCTTCGAAGGGGCCTACGGGAACCTGAAGCGGCTGTACGACAAAGCGGCCAAGATGTATCACCAGCTGAAGAAGTGTGAAACCAGGAAGCTGTCCCCGAGCAAGAAACGGTAAAAGCCCCYGCAAGGGAAGGGCTCAGAGCTTGCCAAGCCATCAGCCCTCTCCCCTGGCAGAGGGTAGTGCCATTCTGGGCAACAGGCTCCTGGCCCTTCCGAGCCACTGAGGGCTCCCAGGATTGGAGAGCTTTTTCTTTTGCTAATTAATTAATTAATTTTAACCTGCCCCAGTGTAGATCTGGTGCATGGTCTCTTGGCTTCTCTCCTGAGATCACAACCTAAAAGCTAGTAGAGGTTGGGGCGAGGGGCTTCCCACCCTCCTCTGGAGCTGGTGACTGTAGATGGGGGTTGAGAGACCTTGGTGAGAAGTAGAAGCATCTAAACTGACCTTCTTACCCCAGAATGTAGGTATCAGTTGTGCCCTGATTTACCTGATTAATAGAGCTCTGTTGACCTCCCCTATTTCTCTGGTGGAATACAGTGTTTTCTCCTTAATTCTTTTAGATGCAAAGACATAAAGAGGTTGCTGGTGAGCTTTATGTACCTGCAGAGCCTTTTGCAGCCGAAAAGCAGGTAAGGCTGCAACAGATGATAACTCCTCGTGATAACTCACGGTACTCGGTGTTTGGAAATGGAAGAGGCTGTTCCCTGCAGGGCTGCAGTGTCTGTGCTGAGTCTTTCTGCCAAAAAATCCAAGCCTTGGAGAGGGCTCTAACCTTGCAGTGTGTGGAGATGGTCACCTTTGAAGAGAGGCTGAAATATCAGAGGGTTAAATACTCTGCAGTTCTAGATAAATTGAGCCAGCGGTTGAGTCCTGAGCCTCCGAGCTCCTCCGTGCTCTGTCCCGTGCCCTTGGCATGTTCTAATGCCTCTTTCGAATGGTTTCTCCTGGCAAGCGCTGGATTTAGGCTGATTCAGCCACAAAGAGTCACCCTCTGCGTGTGTGCAGAAYAGTTCATTGCACTGGGAAACCTGTAACCAAATACCTTGTTCAGAGGAATGAATAACGTAACCTGTTTGTGTTGGAATAAATGGGAAGCTTTGTACAGCTGCGTGGCTTTTCCGGGATTTTCTYGGTTTCTTCTCAGAGGTTTTCAGGTGGTTCTAAATTAACCTCTTACTGCTTGAAACAGTTTTCAGGACAGATTATATCCCCTCAGATTTTCCTCTTTCAAGTGGACTGAAGCCAGCTCTCTTTGCCTATATGGCCTTTATGGTCATGAAGTCATTTTATGACATATAGATAGTCATTTTGCAGTCCTCTTGATAGCCTTCTGCTGGCCTAAGTCCAGTTTGGCACTTTATTATTTTCTCCTGGGGCTCCCCAAGCTGGCCGTGCTGATCCAGGTGCCATTCCGCAAGCGCCACATCCCAGGGAATGCTCCCTTTCCTCAGGCTCCTGCACTGCTGCCAACGCAGCCCTGTATGTGCTTGCTTTCCAATATTGACTTACACTGGAGCTGGACTTCAAGGCTCATTTAATATCCGCTTAGCACATGTTTAGTGCGTAAGAAAATAGGAAATCACTTCAATAGCCTAAGTGTGTTGCCCCTTGAAAAGCATTTACTAGATGTTTTGCAGACAGGGATTATTTTTCTGTGGTAACTAAGAAACTCCTGTTTCAGGCTATTGCACTGAACACCGTGGGTGCTTTCTTTGAAATAGCAGGAATTTTGCAAAGCTCTTGTGGGGCTGCAAGTCAGAGCCATGGGAGGAAGAAAAGCTGAGGCCCTGGTTTGAGTGCTGCCGTGCAGTGTTGAACTGGGCAGTGGATATGAAACTTTGGTGCTTTTCAACATTAAAGTGTGCTGTCTGTCCTAATGGGCACTGCCTGAGCTCGCAGGGAGCGAGTCATTCAGCAGTTATTCAGATTAAATGTAAAGCACTTCTCAGATCTTTGGATTACATGAAGTAGAGAAATGCAAAGAATGACTTTAATCTCCAGGTGATGGTGGAGTTTTTTAACCAATATTTCATATTTGGTGACATGAGCCCATTACACCGAGCAGCAGGGAATGAGCTGCCTCTCCTGCTCAGTGCCCTGAGGTGTGTAAGTGAGGGGCTGTGTTTGCTCCTGTCCACAGCAGTGTCACCCTAAGCCTGGGAGTGAATGTTCAAGTCCCTCCAGGCTTTTACTCCCTTTTCTGTGTGGCGAGAGGATCCACTGACTGTTTGTATTCAGATTAGCAGCTTTGGAGAGAACAACCATAGTCTGATTCCTCTCGTTTGCTTCCCGCAGCTGCTGCTGCCTTCGGTGGTTTCCCCAGGGCTTTATCATGTCTAGTGTTAAATGGCCCACGTGAATCCTCTGCGAGTTTTGGTTCAGTTTCCACGCAGAGGTTGCCAGGAGCTCCAGTCCCGAATAATGATTTGTGTTCATTTTCCCCCGGCTAAGCTCTCTGGATTCCGAGCTGACATCCCTCTGCCAGTCGGTGCTGGAGGATTTCAACCTGTGCTTGTTCTACCTGCCTTCTCCTCCGAATCTAAACTCCACTAGCGAAGATGAAGAGGAGTACGAGAGCGGCTATTCCTTCCTTCCCGATCTCCTCATCTTCCGCATGGTCATCATCTGCCTCATGAGTGTCCACAGCCTCAAGAGGGCAGGTAATCAGTGCATCGTTCAGCTCTTTCGTGAACAGAAAGCGTTCGCGCTTGGTGTTCCACTTAGTTAAGACCAGGTCTTCTGCCTGGTGCTGCAGGCTGCTGGGCAAGCTGCTCTCCTCCAGCTCGTTGTTCGTTCCCCTTGCAGGTTCAAAGCAGTACAGCGCAGCCATCGCGTTCACGCTGGCCCTCTTCTCCCATCTGATAAACCACGTCAATATTCGCCTGCAGGCAGAGCTGGAAGAAGGGGAAAATCCAGTCCCAGCCTTTCAGAGTGATGGCACAGGTAAGGGGACAGGGATGGGGCAAGCTGGGTCTGCCCAGTCGCCTACCTGTGTATGTGGCTGTTGCGTTTCCCCGGTCGCCTGGATGTGGGGTGTTGGAAAGGGTGYCTGAGAGAACGGAGGGGCGTTCGAGACCTCTTGGTGTTTGACTGCTGGGCTGAAATCCTCACTGACAGGTAGCTTTGGGAGACGGTCCCCACTCGCAAGTTCTCTGGGAGTTCCTGGATCGCCGCAGGAGCCGTCGTGCTTGTGCCGACTGCCCTGCGTGTGGTTCCCGGCGCCCGCTTGCAGGCTCTCTGCCGCTGCCGGTGCTCCGGATCCCTCCCGCACCGTTTGCCGGAGCTGCCCGGGTGCCATGGGGGCTCGCAACGTGCTGCTCCCCGGAGGGGCTGGCTGGGCGCGCGCGGCTCTGACCGAGCCGCCCGGCACGGGCGCTGCCCTGGCCTGCTGGGCTCCCTGACCGCAGCGGGATTGGGATGGAAGTGCAGGTTCTGTGCTGCTCTGGCAGCTTTCCGCACCGAGCTGTCCCAGAACAGAACATTCCGGTGTGTTCAGTAGGGATCCAGGCTGCCCAAGTCCTTCTGGCTGCCTCCTAGAAAGTGACTCATCCTCCCAGGTTGCTGTTGCTCCTTCCCTAGCAGAAGACACTAAGGGCAGCGATGGCTCAAATCTGTACGGCCTGATCCCTGCACTCAGGACTGGCAACCAGCTTGGGTTGCACAGGAGGCCTCTTCTACCTTGTGCTCTYGCTTAAATCCCTGCAGATGACCAGGAGCCACGGGAGCCCTTGAACTCCATCGAGAAGGAAGCTGAGGCTGCCTTGGCCAATCACCAGCCCAGCGAAGACCAGCAGAAGAACGACTGCAAGAAAAGCAAGAAGTACTCGCGCCTGTCCTGCCTGCGCCGCCGCCGGCACCCCCMGAAGGTGGACGAGAGCGACCTGAGCGAGGGCTTTGACTCCGACTCCAGCCAGGGCTCCACAAAGGGCAGCGATGGCTCCGAAAGTGGCTCCGAGAAGAGCGATGAGGAGGCGGAAGCTGCTTTTGACGTGGAGACGGACTCTGACATGAACAGCCAGGAATCCCGTTCCGACTTGGAGGACATGGAGGATGAGCCGGGGGAGGAGGGAAGTGGCCGAGGCAAAAGTAGGCCTGAAGAGGCCTTAAAAAACTGTGTGGATGGCAGTGGGCTGGGGGACTCCAAGAGCCCGAGTGTCTCTAAACTCGAGACCCCAGATCCAGCAGCCAACGGGCCGGGTTCCCTGAGCACCAGCGACGCCAGCATAGCCAGTAACCTCCAGGCCATGTCGACCCAGCTCTTTCAGACCAAGCGCTGCTTTCGCTTGGCTCCCACTTTCAGCAATATCCTCCTGAAACCAAGCGGCGAGCCCGGCCTGAAGGACGGAGTAGACAGCAAGCCGTGTGTCAACGGGGATCTGGAGAAGCCCGGCTTGGCAGAACAAGGTGAGCACCAGAGGTCGGCTGCAAAGCCAGATCTGTTGCAATTCTGAAAGAAAACGGCAAGCTCTAGCAGTGCTCTTGCTAAGCTTCAGCCGTTTCCCCCGTGCAGCCTCCCTCGCCAGGTTTGGGCCGGCGGGTTGCCCGAGTGCTGGGCACAGCCCGTTCTGGCTTTCCTGRCGGAGGAGCCTTGCTGTTGATGCCCCGTGCCCAGGACCGCGCGCACTGAATTGAAGGGACACCCGTTGCAGGGACGGGCAGCAGGGAGCTCTGTGTGGAGCTGAGCAGCTCCGCAGGGCGCTGAGAGCTGCGGGGACAGGCAGAGCGGGTGCTTGCAGCACCCTGGGCGCCGGCGCCGTGCCCGCCGGAGCAGCGTTCACAAGGGACTCCCCTGCCCTGCAGGGCCTTGACTACGCTTCGGATAACGCCACGTGGGCCCCTTCGGGCTTGTGCGCCAGTCCTTGCGGCTTCCCTGGGGCAAGGAGACGTTTTGCGTCGCGCTGCCCCGGTCGTGGGCTCGCAGCTCGGGCAGGACTCGGGCTGAGATCTGAAGGGGGGCTCTAGRTGGTGTTGGTGCCGAGCGGCTCCCGGCAGCGCTTCGTAGACACCCCAAAGAGAGGAGGGTAAGGGAAGAAACAAAGGATTTCTGGTCTGTTTAGCTTTTTCCTGAATAGTGTGGCCTTGGTGGCTTCAGAAACATAGAAATGGAGAGGCTCAATTTGCCTTTTTTCTTTCTGCTCTCCTTGCTTCAGCTGGGCTGTCTCAAAGCTAGGGCTGCCCCTTCCTGTCTCTACAGTTGAAGGAGACGTAAGGGCTTTAACCCCCTGCCAAGGATGGCTTTGAATAAATTGCTTGTCCCCTTTTGCTACTGAGGGCTTGCTGAAGCCCACTTGCTCTGCTAATAGCCAGAAACGACTGTGCAGGGAAAAGAAAGCAGCAAAAGACAGCACGGAGGACAGGGAGCTGCTTTTGGAAGGCCAGAGGAGTTCAAGCCAGTGCTGCCCTCATCCTGGGAGGGCTTTGCCTCTCGAGGGGTTAACGTTTACCAGCCTGCTTTTCCCTTCTTCTTCCAGATGATGTGTCCGACTCTGAAGAAAGCATTTCAAGCAACAAATCCTGCAGGAATGAACGATCCCTTCAGGAGAAGCTGGAGATTGTGACCAACGAGGGGTTGCTTCCCACTGTCAAGGTGTTCCTGGACTGGCTGAGGACAAACACGGACCTCATCATCATGTGTGCACAGGTAGGAGCTGGCCCTGGCAGGGCAACCCTTCTACCCTTCTGGCCTGGGGTGGCCAGGGCCTGCTGGAACCCCTGGCCCACTCCAGCTCCACAGCATGAAGTGGTGTTTCCATGCCCTGCCAGTTGAGTTAAGCTAATTTTGACCTCAGGAAGCCTAGTGAGGCTTACTGTTTGTAAAGCACCATTACATGTTTTCCACTGTGGAAGATGCCGAGAGGCCTGGTTGTTGTCGACATCTGTCCTGATGTCTTCTGTCTCTTGTGTTTCATCCTTGCAGAGCTCTCAGAGCCTGTGGAACAGGCTGTCTGTGCTCCTGAACCTTCTGCCGTCCGCTGCAGACCTGCAGGAATCGGGTACTGGAGAAAACAGTGGGAACGTGGGGTGTCAACAAGCCTTGTTATCCATAGCTTCCATGGTGCCTGAGAGACCCTGGGGTGGGAGCTTGTCTGTGGGAAAGAGTGGCAGCCCTGTCACACCTCAGCACGTCGCTTGAGACATTCCTCTTTGTATTTTGGGGGGCCGTTTTGTTGTTAATGCTCCTCACCCAATACGTGCTCAGAGCACAAGTGTAGCTCACTTCAAATCTTCCACCCTGCTCCCTTTCCCGTGTCCCCTGGAGCGTTTTGCCTCCGTGGTCCTTTCGGTCGTTACACGTGGCCGTGTTGCCCTCTCCCTGCTCCAGGGCTGGCCCTGTGTCACGAAGTCCAGGACATGCTGAGCGGCTCCGAGCTCCCCGACCCGAGCGCCAGCTTGCTGCTCCCCGAAGACGTGGCCCTGCGCAATCTGCCCCCGCTCAAAACCGCRCACAAGAGGTTTAACTTCGAGCAGGACCGACCCATTTTCTCAGCGGTGGAGGAGGTGAGTGGGGGCAAACTCTTTATTTTGGTRCTAACCGCGTTTCCCTCTTTGCAAATGCGGCCAGTCTTGGCTATGCAAGTGAAGCTCTAGGCTGGTTCTTGCCAAAAAAGCCCCAAACTGACTCCAACTTCTGTGTCTGAGGCTGGTTCACACTGCTGGTGGCTGCTGTGGGTACCCACGTGTCCAAAAGTCACTGGTAGCAAATGTGAAGCACAGTCACGTGCTGGCAGCTTCGCTGCAGGAGGTTTTCTGACCTCCCTGCCTGGACAGGAGCTGTTCCCTCTGCCCTTCCAGAGGGAGCAGCGTGTGAACTGTCCCTTCATTTGGATCCTTTTTACAGCACTGAGGGCTGGGCAGAGATTGGTGGGGGGCAAAAAGCAGCAGCTGTTCTCTCTGTGGTTTTCTCAAGTTGGGGAGATACTGTTTGCAAACACCGCTCAGCGTTCTGGCCAACCTGAGACTTTCTTGCAGCTCTCTCCATGTGTTCCTGCCTTCAGAAGCACATTTCCATTGGAAATGTTTCCTTCGGATTTTTTTTAATTACAATTTGTGCCTTTTCCAAAAGTATAAGCTGTGGGGCCGGCTCGGGCTGCAGCTCGCGTGGGGAAACGGGGCCGGTGACTCTCTGCTTCCCCGCAGTCTGTGGTTCGGATTTGCTGCATTCGGAGCTTCGGCCACTTCATTACCCGCTTGCAAGGCAGCATCCTGCAGTTCAACTCGGAGCTGGGCATCTTCATCAGCATCGCTCAGGCGGAGCAGGACAACCTGCTGCACCAGGCCCAGGCCCAGTTTCACATGGTGAGTTGGCAGAGGTGGGCGCCTTCGCTGTGGGGAGCGACGCCCCTCGGGTTACCGCTTGATAACTGCAGGGTTTGGAGGTGGGAGTCTCGCCCCTCGCCTCCTCCAGGCCTCTCGGCTGTTCCCTTTGCGGCCCGTGGCTGAGTTCGTGTGTTCCTGCCAGCTTCCGTGTTTCCTGCTAACTGATCTGGAAGTTTGTTTTTGTAACCAGGCTGCAGAGGAAGCTCGGCGGAACAGGTTGATGAGAGACATGGCGCAGCTCCGGCTGCAGGTAGGAGCCGCTGCTTCCAAGCTGGAAACAGGGAGGGCTGCTCCCTGAAATGTGTGTGACGGGGAGCAGGGAAGAGGGAGCTCCGTGCTCCTGTCTCACGTGGCAGTGGCTCCTCTGTCCTGCCAAGGCAGAAGTGATGGGGGGGCTGGAACTCCCCCGCTGTCCCCACGTGTGCCCCACGGTCCTGTGCTCCTTGGCTGAACCTCTGCGTGCTGGGCAGTGGGAAGGGGCTGGTGGAGCAGGCCAGGGGCTCCCTTGGCCTCGCTCAGCTTTTATTTCGGYGTCAGCGCTGAGCCGGTGCCTCTCTCTCCGCGTGTGTCTCAGCTGGAGGTCTCTCAGCTGGAGGGAAGTCTCCAGCAGCCCAAGGCGCAGTCGGCGATGTCTCCGTACCTCGTCCCGGACACCCAGGCCCTCTGCCAGCACCTGGCTGTTGTCAAGCAGCTGGCAGCCAGCGGGAGGTTCATAATCATCATTCCCCGGACAGGTATGGGGGCTCCGTGTCCCATAGCTGTGCCTGCCTTCCCTCCTTCCGTCTTTGCTGGGAAGAAAAGCCTCCCGGGCCAAGGTGGCTGCTTCCATCCTGCTGCCTTGGTCCCCAGGCATTGCAGGAGCAGCTCACACACCGTTTGAATGTGTCCTTTTTGGGRCCGATTCACCTGTGGTGCCCGCTTGGAGCGCAGCGTAGCTCCCTGAGGAGCCACTGGAAAGAGAAGCCCTGTCCAGCCCCTGCGTCATCCGCCTCTGGCAGCAGCAATTTCTGCCTTGGATCGGGGGAGGCCCRGCAGGACGTGGAATTCCTGCCGCGTCTGGGTTTGTTCGCCGGAGCAGAGCCCTAAGCCACGTGTTCTTGTTTCTTTCTTCCTGCTAGTGATTGATGGCTTGGACTTCCTGAAGAAGGAGAACGCAGGTGCTCGGGACAGCATCCGCTATCTGGAGGCGGAATTTAAAAAGGGAAACAGGTGAGCGTGGGAGAGCGAAGCGCATTGCGCTCGGCTTTGGGGTGGGTGTATGTGGGGATGGAAGGAAATGTTGGGAACGTGCCTGGCATCCCATAGAGCAGAGTGAGGAGTGGACGTGGAGAAAGCCGAGGCCTCAGGAAAGCACTTGGGGAGAGGGATGGTCGTGAAGAAAGAGATTTGGGAGCTGGTTCGCCGACACTATCCTGGTTGCTCCCCAGCTGGGAACTGCAGCTATTCCCTAGGGGTGGCAGGGGTGCAGCTCTGTACTGGTGTGGAARACGGAGCCGCAGCTCTCAGCCGCGGTGCTGGGCCCACTAGTGCGACCGTCACCACGTGGGCTCAGTGACTCCGTCCTCTCCCTAGGTACATTCGTTGCCAGAAAGACGTTGGGAAGAGCTTTGAGAGGCACAAATTGAAGAGACAGGATTTAGACGCCTGGTAAGATGTACAGCATCTGGAGATGGCTGAGCCTGAATTCCCAGCGGGCGGATGGATGTGGGGAGGTGTTAGCACTGGGGCTGGTTGCACAGCGTGCCTCATTTGGTGCTTTACGTGGGTGACTAMATTTCCCTAGAGGGAGCGTATACATTTCCCTAAAGGGAGCGTATCTGAGGCACGGGTGTGTGTGTGTCCCACAACACCAAACACGTCTGCGTCCAAGAATGGTCCCGGAGAAGCCCTCCGTGGCTGCAGTCCTCCCGAGCGTTCATGAACCCACGTGTACGTTGAACGTTTGCACACCGAGGTGGCTCCCCGCTCTGACTTCCCTCTCGTGGCAGGAACCTCTATAAAATCCTGGACAGCTGCAAGCAGCTGACGGTGTCCCAGGCGAGCGGAGAGGACGACACCACGGGAATGGTCACCATCATCACGGGCTTTCAGCTGGAGGACCCGAGCGCGTTCTCCGTGCCCATGCAGGTCGGTAGCTCTTTGCTGTGGCTGAACTGCACCATCCTGCCGCCTAGCAAGGTTAAACTCGGCTCATTTGGCCACARTTTTGATGTTTTCTTCAGTTCTCCCAAATCTAGTTTGTAAGTCATGATTCCTACTCCTGTTTATTTGAAGGCCCTTTGGTCTCTCATGCGTTTGTGGTGCAGGGCAGCCTGGGCGGGGAGGGAGAGCACTAATTTGCACGACTGTGCAGGCTTCTGAGGCCAGAGCTGCATAAACCAGCATTAGCATGAAGGAGAAATGGGCCTTTTAGCCACAAAAGGCTATGCCTGGCAATCAGGGAGTTGTGAAGGATCTAGGGAGGCCTCTTGGCAGCACCTGGAGAAAATAACCCGCCGTGCGTGTGTTTGCTTGCAGTCTGCCCTGCAGGCAGCCGCCACCGCCAGCGTGGAGATAAAAAACGTTCTGGAGTTCTACAAGCAGTGGAAAGAGATGGGCTGACGTTCGCAAGGGCATCGGGTTGGTGCACCTTTCTCTCCCCCTCTCGGAACGTGCAGCGTCTGAACGAAGGAAACAAAACTCCAGGCGACACTTAGACACGAAGAAGCAGCAGCAGCAACAATAAGAAAAAAAAAAACAATTACAAAAATTAAAAAACAAACAAAAAAAAAAACGAGATAAGGATCCAGGCACACGCACGGCCACCGCCACCCGCACCCCGACCAGACGGCTGCACACGTGCAACGGCGCTAACCGCTCTGAGAAGAGGCGGCCCCGCGGCGCGGCCGAGCGCTCTGCCCGTGTGCCCGGCCGCAGGGTGGGCGAGACGCGGGCGGCCGGGCGCTCCTGTCGCTCCTTCCCCCCTGCCCGGCCCCGCTCCGCGGGCGCCGGCCGCGGCGCCGGCTTCCCTGCAGCGAGAGCAGCGGAACCGGAGCCCTCCTCGCTTGGGAAGCGACGTCCCGACAGTGTGTCGCTCTTGCTTGGCAATCTGGTGACAGGAAAGCACATTTTTTTTTTCTTTTTTTCTTTTTGAGTTAATTATTTTTCAAGTTTTTTTTTCCTTTTAATTCTTAGTTTTATATATATAATATTAAAAAAAAAAAAAAGAAAAAGTGGAGTTCCTTTGGGGTTCTCGATGCTCTTCCAGTGGTAGAAAAGGAAACAATGATGCTATTTAAAAAGGGGGAAAGCAAAAAAGCTCTTAATATAATTTTTTTTTCTTTTTTTCTTTTTTTTTTTTTTTTTTCCTTTTTTTTTTTTTTTTTTTAAATGTATTTATTTCCCTTCCCTGTCCCCATGGAGCGAGCTCAGTGCAAAGGGCCTGCGGAGAGCCGCGTGGCGAGCGCCCGGCTCCCGCTTTCCGTGCCGGCTTCCCCGAGAGCTCGACAAGGACTCTCCTTTCCCGTCTCTTCCTGCTCTTGCCCCTTCCCTGCTCCCTCCGCTCCTTGGCCTCGCGGAGGAGAGGAGCCGCCGCCGCCGGGACAGGAGCCGCGCGGGGGCTCGGCCGAAACCAGCAGCTCTCGCAGGGACCCAGGCCTCTCCTTCCCCCCTTTTTTCCTTTCCCTTTGGAGCCCGYGCTGGGCTGCGGAGGAGGACGGAGGATCTCAAAGCCATCATCCCTTCTGCTGCTACGTCGTGCTCGAGAGGGCGGCAGGACGCGTGCGGTCGGCGCGCGCCGCGGCCGAGCCCGCYGGCTCCTCTGCTTTGGGCATGCCCCAAGGGGAAGACGCTCCYGGGCGGCTGCTGGAAGAGCCCGTTTGCCCTGGGCACCCGCGAGGACCTGCGGACCATCCTGGCAGCGTCTCCGGGCAGCCTGTGTCCGACTTCCAGCGGCGCTCCTGCTTGGAAATGAAGAAACGGGTTGCTCCGAAGGCGGCGGGCGCTGGCCTGGATGGCCCCTCCGTACGGCACCTGTGGTGCTGCCACCCGGACCCGGGCGTTGGCGTCCACGCGGGCGGACAGCAGCTATGCAAGTGACAACCACTCGTCCCCCCTTGCGTTGTCCCTCCTCGCGGGCCGGCGGGAAGCCGCTAGAGCCGGGCCGGGCTGCGGGAAGGCGCTCGCGGCCCCGCGGGACACTCCTTGTTTTCAGGTAAAAGAAAAGCAAACAGCACAAGCCCCGGGTGCCTGGTCTGTTTGCAGATCCCCTCATGGTGGCCGGGGCACAGCGGGGGGTTTCGCTGGAGCTTCCCCTGCAGCGGCCGGGGACGGTGCCCCCGGAGGAGGGGGGCCTGGCAGGGCTGCCCCCAGCTTTCCCCTTGCAGCTTCTCCTGGTGCTTTGGGGCTCAGCCAGGGCACTGGCAGGGCCGGGAAGGTGAGGCCTGACTCGGGCCCCCTGGGAGGTCAGGGACGGACYGGGAAGCTCGATGGTTCTTCCCCTYGGCGTGATCCGTGGGTGCATTTTCAGCCACGTATTCGTTATTTTTACGTGAGGGGGACAGGAGAGGAGAGAGTCTCGGCCTGCGGTGCCCGAGACGGAGCAGAGAGACAAGATTTGTGCCCCTGAGCCCCGGGGGAGGCTGCGGCGCCCGGGGGAGGCTGCGGCGCCCGGGGGAGGCTGCGGCGCCCAGGGGAGGCTGCGGCGCCCGGGGGAGGCTGCAGCCCTCGGGGCTGGACAGAGGTGGCAGCTGCGGAGCTGGAGCCGCCCTCCCCGGCCCATGTGCATCTTTGTGCCCCACGTTGGTGCAGCCCAGGCCCGGCTCATGGCACCCGCTGAGCCTCCCGCTGCCTCCTGCCCTTCTGCCCCTGTTCCCAGCGCTGCCCCCTCTCCGAGGGCTCCTTTCCAAGTTGTTTTGCAGAGCGGGAGAGGAGGAGAAGGGCCCGGCCTGCCCCATGGCACCGGTGCCACCCGCTGTCTTGGGCTCRTCCTCACCCCGGGGCCTGGCGGGGAGGGACGGTCGCTGTCACCAGAGGGCCCTGCGCTCCCTTCCCACCTTCCTTTAGCCTCGGGAATGGTGCTGGGGGTGACGCTCCGGGGCTGCGTGGCCCTGGCACAAAGGGGAGGCTGGGAAGAAGCCGGGAAGCTTTGGGAAGCTTTGGGAAGCCCGGCCTTGGGGACTTTGGGAAGCTCCGGGTGGGCGCAGCTGCCCCCTGTGGTGCCCGGGGCTGTTGCCGGTTGTCCCCGTCCCCAARCCCGAGGCTGCTGCTCTCCCGGGCGCCCCGCTCCTCCCGGTGCTGCTATTCCCTGGGGCCCAGCCGCTAAACCCGCCCGTGCTGGGATGCGAACGGGAGGGCTCTGGCTTTGGGGCCGACCCCCGTGTCCCCAGTTTGGGCTGCCCCGGTGTTCGCTTTCCTTCCTTCCCTCCGTGGGGGGGACCCGGTGGTTGCTGGGGGCCGAGGGCTCCGTGGGCCGGCCCTAGGGTCCTTGGTGGCCCTGGGCTCCYCGTGGCCCCCGGGCCCTGCTCCTGGCCCCCCATGCTCTTATCCCACATTTTCCATGGATGCTGGCCTGGAGTCCGGGCTGCTCCAGGGCCGGGATGGCCGCCCAAGTGCCCCAGGCGCCCAGCCCACGGTAAGCTCGCCCCCTCAGGCCCGGCTTAATAAAACCCAGCCCTTTGTAGCCCTCGTGTGGTGGTGGTTCCGGCCCCTCCTCTTGGCCAGGCCCCTCTGCAGGCACCGATTTCCCCCAGTGCTTTCCAGCCCATCTCTGCTTTCCCTGGGAATGTGTCCCCCAGGAACGTTTCCCTCGGGAATGTGTCCCTTGGGAATGTTTCCCTCCCGCTCCCCTGGGTAGCTGCTTGGGTCAGCAGTGCGGGCCTGGGGCGGGCAGCAGGGCAATTTGGGGGCCTGGTTGTAGAAGGGGATTGGGGGGGGGGTCTCCGCTTGAAGCGCGCGGAAAGACGATGGATCCCGCTGCCTGGAGCCGGGAATTACAGACTGCAAAGGCCAGGAGCAGGCGGGCACAAACAGCTTTAAATCCAAAGGGAATAAGCTGGGAATAGCTGCTGCTGCAGGGGGGAAGGGGAGGTCGGGTCCTGCTCGGAGCGGGGAAGAGGCCGGGAGCCTTCGGCGCCGCAGGCAGCCCGCGGGGCGCCCGGCGGGCTCCGGTGCCCGGCGGCGAGCGCGGCGCTCAGCGCACGGTGGTGCCGTAGAGGCGCTGGTAGGCGGCCGGCAGCCCGATCTGGTCGGCCAGCTCGTCGCAGTCGGGGCTCAGCTCGCAGACCTCCCGCGTGGCCTCCAGCGGGTCGGGCGCCGCGGGGCTGCGGGACGCGGCGGCGTTGGGACGCGCCGGTGCTCCCGGGGGGACGCGGCCGTGCCTGCTCCCCTGCCCTTACCTGCCCGCGCCGGCGACGCTCCGCGGGGCCCGCGGCAGCAGCTGGGCACTGGCGCGCCGGGACACGAAGGCTGCGGGGGGACAGGGGTGAGATCCCGCTCCCACCCGGTGCGGGATGGGATGGGACAGGATGGCATCGGTCAGGACGGGATGGGACRGGTCAGGCCGGCGCCGGGCGCCCGCGCTCACCTTCGGAGCCGGGCGAGTCGGCAGCGTCGGAGCGGTCGGAGGCTGCGAGCGGAGCGGTCAGGACGCGGCCGAGCTGGGCGCGCTGCTGCGCCCTCCTCCCTGCTCCTCCTCCTCCTCACCGGGGTCCCCTTCCAGGCCTGGGCACCCCCAAACCACCCTCCCCGGGTGCCCTGGCCCCAGTGTGTGCCGGGGCTGCGGGCGCCCTTGGGGTCCCCCTTACCTTGGTGGCCGAGGGTGCCGAGCACCAGCAGCGCCAGCAGCGCCAGGGTCCTCATGGTGCCGCGGGCGCTCGGAGCGGCTCCGGGCGCCGCTTTATACCCGGCGCCGACCGCAGGCCAGGAGGGGCCCCGGCTATTTCTGCTGCATCCGGCCGGGCTGCGGCCGCCGGCGGCAGTTGTGGTTTGGGGTGACCGCGGGGCCRCGGGGAGGGAGCGGGGACCGGGGGTGCCGGGATGGGATGGGGGACCCCAAGCGGCTCCCAGACCTGGTCCCTAGGGGTGACACCCATAGGGTGTCCAACCCGGGCTCTAAGGTCACAGTCAACTTGAGGGGGCTCCAAGCGCTGCATCCCTGCCCCCTTCCCGGCCTTTCCCATCCCATAAATCCAGGCCCGCCTGGCAAAGCAGAACCGGAGGCTTTGAGGCGGACAAGACGAGACAAGAGGCTGTAGAACAAACCCCTAAGTAGAGGGTGCGCGGGCCAAGCGCCGCGGCGGGAGCCAGGGGCAGGGCAGGAGCAGCACCCGTTTATTGAGATGACAATGCAGCGAGGAAGGTTGGTTACGACAAAGGGAAAATATTCCCAAATCTGTCCAGCCCGAGCGCCGGCCGCCTCTAATTGGAAGCAGCAGCAAATTGCTGCCTTGTTGTCCGCATCCGCTGGCCGAGCGCCGGGCCGGGGCCGCGCGGGGCCCCCCGGCCCCCTCCGCGCGGCGCTGCCGGACACAGCGAGAGCGGCGCCGGCTGCCGGCCCCGACGAGGCCCTTTCCTCCTTCGGGACCTTCGGCCCTGTCCCGCTTTTGGTGGGAAGGGGTGAAGTTCCAGCAGGGAGGCGGCAAAGACCAGGCCTCAAGCTGGAACATGGAGTAAATCCCGGTGCTCTGTGTGCTCCGCACGCTGGGCTCTGCTCTGCCGCCCGCAAAGGCACTGCGGTCTCTGCTAAGGGCACCTGAGCTCCTGTCCGGCTCGGGCGCGCCGGGATCGTCACCCATTTCCAAGATGCCGATGCAGGTGCCCATTCCTTGGCCGCCCTGGCTGCCATGGTGCCAGGCTGGGCGCAGCGGCGTGTGGGTCCCATCCCCGGGACGTGGCTGGAAGCCCCGTGAGCAGCAGCAGCTGCAGCGGCGCCTCCTCACTGCGGCTCCGCCAGCGTCCTGGCCGGCTCCSGCCGCTCCTCACTGCGGCTCCGCCAGCGTCCTGGCCRGCTCCCGCCGCTCCTCACTGCGGCTCCGCCAGCGTCCTCGCCAGCTCCCGCTGCTCCTGGCCCACGGCCTGCAGGAAGAACATCCAGGGGGGAGCTGGGAGCGCTCCCGCAGCCAGAGGTTCCCCCCAGGCTGCTCCTCCCTAGGTAATTCCCATGCTCTTATTCCCACCTTGTCCTCCATATCCCAGAGCAGATCCCGCCCCGCGGCCCCGGCCTTCGGCAAAGGGAACGCGGCTGTTTTCCCGTGCAGCGGCGGCAGCTCGGTGCGGCCGAGGGCTTTACCTGCCAGGCCTCTCTGCGCTCGCGGATGAGGCGCTGCAGCGCCGCGATCCTGTCCCTGCCGGCGCGCACGGCCTGCGCCAGCTCCCCGCTCGCCGCCTGCTTGTCCCGCAGCGCCTTCCGCAGGTAGCCCCGGTGCTTGAGCAGGTAGGGCACCAGGGCGCTGCGCACGTCCTCCCGGGGCAGCCCGCTGGGACGCCTGCGGGCGAGCGCCGGTCAGCGGCACCCGGGGCRGCCCCGTCCCGGGCACTGCCCGTGGGCAAGCGCTGCGTGAGCCTCCTGCTGGGACAGGGGCTGTGGGCCCTGAATGACCCGGACGCGTCTCGGGTTGAGCTGCCCCCTGGTCCTGGCGGCACCCGGCCCCTCTTTGTAAGGGGGAAGCGTCAGCGAGAGATCGGCCTGGCAGGG